AGTCTTTTTTGGCTCTATCAGGTCATCTGGAGTTGTAAAGAAGGCTTTCCTTTTTGAGGGTGAGTGATGAGGTTAGGGCAGATGTGAGCTACAATCATGGATTTATGAAGGTTGATTACAATGGCCAGAAGTTGCAGGCTCTTTTTGTTACTACAGAAATTGCCTTTCATTTGTGTAGCGACAGGAAGTTTCTACAGAGTTTTCACAACTTTCACATCAGGTAAGAAGCTTTTGGCAAAATGGCATTCCACTTAATTTCATATTTAAGCATTAATAATTCTTAATATGTACATGTCTGTCGACTACCACAAACACTGATGATATATCTTCAGAAAAAGAAAGACCACAACTTAGAGCCAATAAACTAACAAGGATAAGATACAGATCCAGTCTAGAGTGGGAATAAAACAAATACTGAGCTTAAAAATGCTAGAGCACCCTGGCCTGCTGCCTGTATCATTCCAGCAGTTAATTCCTTTGTTTCTTAATTAACATTCAACTTCTAAAAGTAAAGCTCTCTAAATTGCCTACCAGCATCTTGTCTGGACCACTATGCAGCAGATAGATGGAAATCCTAGGCCACATACCGATATAGGAATAGTAACATCCCAAGTATGCAATAAATCTGAAATATGCAGACTTACTTAATTCACCAAAATGTGTATTTTTATTTTTACAGGTAGGTTTTTTTCTTCTGACTTACAAGCTTAATTTTTTCTTCAAACCAGAAACCCCAAATCCTGAGAGCTCTCAGTATTAACAGTTGTACTAGAGCAGTTCATTGCAGCAATGCCTAACTACATATCAGGAAGTTTCTTTCCATTGAAGTTTTTCCTCTTCCCCCTTCTTTTCAAATGATTTAGTAATTACCAAAAGGGATGAAGGGCCAAGTCAGATCAATCAAATACTATTAACTCTCATTGCGCGCGCGTGTGTGTGTACACAGACAAGTTTCTAACTTTTACAAACATCCCCGAAAAGCAATGCAAGCCAAAGCTCACATCTGTTGGAAAAAGTGATGGAAAGGGTCATTGGAGACACAGTAGAAACAACACTTCTCTGTACTAAAGTAATGCTCATGTTGAATTGGGGTACTTGGTTCCCAATGGCTAGCTCTACAACCAACAAAGTGGATATTTGGAACAATTATCTAGATAAAGCAAGCCTAAGAAACAGTCTAAAATACCTATAGGTTTGAGGCACAGCCACAGGGTTTGAGGTTGGGAGGAGCTGACAAGTAGGTATGGAGAGGTTATTTAAGTGATCCAAACTATCACATCAACTTATATTGGTTATGTTTATAACAAGCAATCTGTTTAGTAACACTGTTCTGGAAACTTGATTACGAAAATAATATGACCGATTTTTCTTGTGTACTTTTAAACAAGAAAAAATGTCTGCCAAACTGCAGGTACTTTTTACCTGATGGTTTAACAAACCAAAGTCTGGGCCACATAAACTGTTAGTCAGAACAGTACCTGAGTCTCACCCACAAGGCAATAGGAATGTCAAATGGTTATTTATATTTTCTGGCTAAAGGGTCAACTCATATTTTTCACTGAAATTCTCAATGAAATTTGCAGGGGGAGGTTTTGCACTGCCATAGGAACTATAAAGTTCTTAATGGAAACATATTTGTTTATTTTTAAGTCATTCAAAAGGTAGAGGCTGTAGTTTTTTTTTTTAATCTTTAGTCAAATTGCAGGCGGATGTTTAGATGTTTTGGACTTAGCTGAAATAGCATAAATTAGGTCACAGTGGAATGGAAAATGACTATTAGAGGCAGAAAGAACTGGAAAATTTTCAATATTTCTATGTAAGAGAACAGAAGTATGACTTGGAGCATTTATATCCCTGTAAAATTTGGTATCTTCCAAAAATGATGACTTTGAATTTGGAATCTTTTCTTTATCTTTGTACGCCGCTAGACTTAAAGCCTGAAATGGCGAATTTATTTTAACAATGCCCATTTTCTAATATAACTGATATTTTCTTTGTGATATTTTTACCCTTACTAGTTATCAGGGAAACTTAATGTAATTAAGTAAATACAGGTGTCCAGAAGTGATAAGAAAGTCAGCTGTAACAGAGGTGAAGCATGGTATGGATACTTAAACAGTAAGTGATACTTGTTACCATTTATATTTGAGTTTGGAGTACATTTTTTACTTTACATTTAAACATGCCAGTCTGAAATTTGTGCAGTTATGGCATTTTGGGAAAATGGACAAAAAGGTATCTATTGTGGCCATTCAATTTCCATATCTACATATAACAATATGTACTTAATGCTGCCATTTCTATGATCTAGAAAATTTGGGTTTATTGACTGGCTCTGTGACCTTGAGCAAGTCATTATCTTTTTCTGGGCCTTTTTTTTTCTATTTGTAAAATATGAGGTTGGAATCGAGTAGATCCTCACTAAGGTTCTCTATTACCTCTAACGTTTTATGTTTATAAGTTTACCCTCAAGTTGGCTTATACCTTCTTTGGGGTCAGAGGACATACTTAAGCATTTGATTTGAAATACCTTTCCTGATAGTAGCTGATCCAGAGAGTAGAGAGGTGAACACAAATCGTTTTCCCTTCCTACTTTCTGCTAGTTACAGTTAATAAAAATGTTGGTGTCACCATCATGGAAGTTAGAACAATAGCTGATTGGCTTTAACAGCTAAATGGCCTCAGTCCTCAACAGAGCTAGGCCTCAGCATAGCTAGTGAAGTCTTAAGCCCAAATCACAAAGACAATAACCCTGAGAAAATCTGGAAAAGAATGTAATGCCCACGAAATACGACACTGGTTTCTTTTAGTAGTAGAGATTGGCTATTGTGATTTACACATATTCTCTCTTTAGAAGATAATTTAGAGTAAACTGTATTTTGGAGCATGGCTCTATGTCTGGCTACCCTTGTTTTCTGACAAATTGGTAAAGTAACTGCCAGAACAATTAGACCTAGGCCATCACAAGCACATGCGTTTGTGAGAAAGATATCTTTTTCTTTTGATGAAATAAGGCCATGTATTGGTTTTTGGTGCCATCAGTGTGAGTTAGGAATATAGCCTGGGTGCTATTTATTATTCAAAGTGAATTTCACAGTTGGGAAGTTTGAGTCTAACTTTAGAAACCTTCCTTCTGGAAAGTAACCTGTTACTGATATCAGGGCCATTTATGATAGTCCCACTTAGCGAAGCAGGAGAGAAGTTGGATTTGAGTAAATGATCACTTCAGATATAATCAAGGCATTATCTTGTGACACTCTCTTGCCAAATGGCTCTTGATGCACCTTGTTCTCTTGATCACTTCTTCATGGATGTGAGCTTTGTTCCTCCTCACCCCCAGTTTGTGTCTTTTTCAGGTGGGATATTTTGACCATCAGTCACTGAAGCTAGTGCTGGAAATGGGAATCAATTCAAAGAACAGAAACTACACTGTCAAAAACTATTTTGGAGTCATATTAGCATTGTTTGAAAATAATTCATTTCACTTAGTTTTGCCAGGAAGTATACCTGTGAATTTAGATGGTTTTCTATTACTGCTGACATTTGTAAGAACAGGGTGATAACTAACTAAATCTCACTTTTTTGAGCTACACATTAATCTTCAGGACCCAGACCATGGGCTATTTCATGTTATATGGTACAGTGTAAGTTGTACATGTCTTTGTGCTAACTCTGGTAAAAACCACCCCTTTCAGTATGTTATTGCTCGGTGGTTACCAGGTCTGACATGATGGCCATATGCATTAGGGACTTCATTTTTTAACCTTCACCTTTGTATTCTGATGAGGCAGTCTTAAGCTGTGGAAAATAATTTGTTTGGATGTCTAGATTCAGTTTTCTTTGAAGACAGTAGGATTTGGATCATGTTTATAGTTCCATGAATTCACTAGGGTTGTTATATATCTAACATAAGTTTACACATGCAATTCCACTGCCCCCAGTGAATATTAAAACTGCAACGTGAATCAGGTTATCTAGACCTAAAATTGTTTTATTGTTGTTTTATCAGAAAGCAATTAATTAAAATGAAGATGCTGTTTTCAGATTCCAATACCTCAACAAGATATCATTTTTCTGATAAAAAATATTTTCAAATCCAGGCTTTTATCTTAGAAATGCTCTTGATAGCAATGATTAAAACTATCAACAGTAGATAGGACCCTATAAATATACCAGCTAATTATTTTTTCTTGCCAATATATGAGATGTAGTGACTATTGGTTAGAGTGCAATAGAAGTTTTTAAAAACAGTACATATCCTAAATACTAATCTTGATGCTATCAAATTTTAAAATGTAGTCAGCTAACTGAAATACACAAACACAGGAAAGGAATTCACTAACTTATTAGATACGACATATACTATGGGGTAAATATTCATTGGCACACATTAGGAAGGTAACATATTTCAGAAACAAAAATTCAACAGCCCCCACAATAAGGAGAAGTTGTAGTGTTTAGAAACAAAAACAACATGAAGGCCAGTTATACCTAGAAGCCACAAGCTGACAATTCTTTGGAGTCTATTCAGTCTCCCTTAGATGCTGTTCATTGAACCAGAATGGGCAGCATGGAGCACTGAAGGGCAACAAAGAGAGGCAGGTTAGTTTGCCTTATCTAATAGCTGGTGGGGACTGCTGAGCTCATCTCTCAGCCCTGTGGGGAAATGGTGTGAGATCCTGAGGAAGGTCAGGAATCTGTGCGGCAGCAGCAGTAGCAAAGTGGCACCTGGAGCTTCAAGGAAGCAAGGGTAAGAAAAGCAAAGCCAAAGGGTTAAGCACCCGACTGCACCTCTGCTGATTAGGCGCAAACACCCCTTCAGTTGGTTGTGAAATGGACTTAGTATTTATAGGTATAAAAAGGCAAATAATAGTAGTAGTAGTAGTAGTAGTAGTAGTAGTAGTAGTAGTAGTAGTAGTAGTAATAATAATAATAATAATAATAATAATAATAATAATAATAATAATAATAATAATAATAATAATAACAAGAACCAAAAATGAAGAATGTGGCTATAAAAGACGGTGAAAGTAATAGGAGTTTCACTCTCCTTTCTGGGGGTGGGGCAGTGAGGGAATCATATTCTATGTCACCTCTGAGAGCAAAGAAATTAGAAATTTTCTGAGTTCCAGAATAGGTGATAACGGCTTGACTTAGAGCCGAGTTGTAACTTGTTCTTCCTGTCCATCACCCCATTTGTGCATGAGCAGGTCACAAGCCTCTCCCCAAGTTTCAAATACATCCTCTGAGGAGTCTAAAAGTTTAGAATTTGAGGAGCAGATGCTGGATGCGCAGTGAAGAGAGCTGGAACAGGCTAGAGGGCATTCACTGCTCTGAGCAGCGCCCCGGGCTTCACCTAATTCTACCTCACTGAGGTTAATTTCACTTTGAGAACAGGCCTCTGCTTTCCCTTTCTCCATCTGAGAATATCTGATGTCCTGCCACATATAGTGCTGCTGAACGATTCCATCAGAAATGGTGTACATTGGCTCTGAACTGGGTTCAGACATATGACCATTAAACTTGGAGAATAGGAGACCCAGTTTCTTGAGAGAGGGACCCATGAAGGAGCGTTTGCTTGATGGCTCAGCTTTTGACTTCCCTTGGGCACCGCCAACTCTTGGCATGGTCCTGATGAGAGGTGGCCCGTGACAGGCTTTTTTCTTGCAGCCTAAATTGAAAGAGACACTCTTGGATTTAGCCCGAGCCCCACCACTGCCATCATTGGTATCATCCCTCTGAGAGGAGAGTTCAGTGCTGCTAGTGGAAAAACTTCTCCTGGGGTGCTTCCTATTTCCCAAGAGGTCAAGCACTTCATAGCGAAAGCTGGAGATGTCTTGCTTTAATTCCTAGGGCAAGAGAGAAGACACGTTACGTTAAGAAGTTGGGCCTTTAGTTCATAACAGGCACACTGGATATCCTTTAGAATGTTCCAGGTTTTGCTTCACAGCAAATCACAAAGTACATAAACTACCAGAAAAATCTCACATTACTCCCAGTACAAGAGAAACATATTAACAATTCTGCGGGCAGAGCTGGCCATTGGAAAAAACGTGCAATTGGTAAAGTTGATGTCAGAACTTCCCCATTAGGAGTTCGCCGACAGACTAGCGTGTTACTAACAATTAAGGTATTAGATTAGGGTATTGGCTTTCATAGGCATCTGCATATAAAAGTACTACTGAAGAGGACAAAGCTTTTAGGACTCTCAGGAATAACACTAGGGAAGTGGAGTATCAGGTGATGAGACAGCTGTTTTGAGACATATTTATTCAGGTCCCTGTGAAATGTCCTCTATCTCTAACCGGTTACCTAAATACTAGATTGTGCTTTTAAAAACCATCTTTTTAGAAGCTTAAATCTGATTCCCTGCTTAACACTCTTTAGTAACTTATCACTGACCATAGACTACAGGGCTCTTCAAGGCCTGGTACCTGTCAATCTCTCCCATTTCTTCCTACTCTTTCTCCAAGTGCTCTTCTGTCCACCTGTATCGACATATTCTCTCTTGCCTCTGGGCTTTTGCATGTGCTGTTCTCTGTGTCTTGAACACAATTCTCCCCAACTCTCCTTTATCTGAACCCTCCTTCAAGCCTCAGCTTAAAGATTGCTTCCTCTGGAAAGCTTGCCCTGAATCCCCAAGTCCTAGTTGAGTGTCTGCCATCTTTGTGTCTCCATAGCACCCTGTGTTGACTCTGTTAGGATACTCAGTCATTTGTCACCCTCTGTATTATTGTGTGAGAGTAGGGAGGGGCTGCTTATATCTTGCTCATGACTATGCCCCAGCATCCAGCAGAGTGCTTGGCATATAGCAGGCCCTCAATAGATGATTTATGTCTGTGGATTAGGATAACAGCATTCCTATGTTCCTTAGAAAATATATATGTGTTCTAGGATAGGGTTTCTCAACCAATTGACACGTTGAGGTTGGTAATTATTTGTTGTAGGGGGCTGTCCTGTGCATTGTAGGAGTTTTAACAACAACCCTGGTCTCTGTTCACTAGATGCCAATAGCACACACATCCCAGAGTGACAACCAAAAATGTGTAATGGTAGAGTTTCATAAATCTTAGATTTAATAATGGATTTTCTGCCTATCTTATATCTTCTAAATGAAGAAGACCTTTAAATCCCCAGGCATCTTCGCTTTGCTATCTTTCTTCTCATCACACATCCTTGCCACATCATTTAAAGCACTCAATTCTCACACTGAGAAACACCCAGAATGTTAAAAGAATGCATATTTTTATTATTCATTATTAATAAAGCTGATTTTGGTGTGACAGACCTTGGTAAAATTTCTCCATCCACTGGATGACAGACTGTTCTACAAGAATAAGAATTGTAGCTGCGTTGCTGTATTACAGACAGTTGAAGTTCTAGCACCAGAAACCTCAAACACTGTGAAGTTTAAATGATACTTAAGAAATGTGAAATGAGAAATTAAACCACTACATGATTAAATTACCTTAAAATTTTCTTCTGTTAATCCCTCATTTGTTTTGGAATTTCTTATCATAGCTGCCACATATCTTTTGACTAAATTCCTGATAACTTCCTGGAATTAGAAAAAAACATGAAGAGGCATTCAGTTTCCTTCTTGGGCTCTCAGTAAAATAAGAAACACACACAGGAAATAAAATTTGCCTAGACTGTCGTTGCAATGGAAATTCCTCGCAGAATCTGGCCTTTTTCTACAAAAACCCTCAATTAAGTTCATTGGCTAAATGAATTACGTGTCCAAATTTGGTGGCAGAGTGGGCCAGTAAGATCAAATTCATCCGAAATGAAAAGTTTCCACCCAAGCATAAGGTAAACAGATTCACATTCATAGAATAATGAGAGCGGAATAATCCTTGACTGGTCACAGTCAATATCCTTTCCCTTCAGGCTGGATTAAACTTTAACCCTCCTAATAAGATGAGAATTTTTCTTCCTTTTATAAAGTTGAATTGACACAACATTGTAAACTGATTATACTTCGGTAAAAATATAGTTGAGAAAGTAATTTTTCAGTGTCACAAAGTGTTCTGATTTTGATGTCCGCTAATTATGTAGTCGAGATACTTCTTAGAGTCAATCTACACTTCTCCTTTACAGGGATGGCCTCTTTTTACTTAGCCTCCTGGGAATGGTATACACATGGCCACTATGCTTTGTGTTAGTAATGGTTATGTTGATCACTACTACTTAAGGGAATATGTCAGGCACTGTGCCCAGACACACACACACACACAATCCTATGTACATAACTCACCACTCAATTCTTATACTGTGAGTTACATTTTATCATCCCTATATTACAGATGAGAAAACTGGGGCTCAGTGAGAGTAAGTGACTTGTCCAAGGTCACACACTGACCAAGAACTATTATGCTTAGTCCCTATGAAGAAGCTTTACCTGGTAATGTTGATTCTGTATCAGGCTGTCAGCATGGCGTTCCTGTAATTGAAAATGGATAGAGAGGTTACATCAGCAGTCTCCCAGCAGCACATCCACCTGAATGTATTTCTAAATATTAGCACTGGAACATGACACAGGAGCTGCTACCTGACAAACCCCCAAAGCATCTATAGTTTGGAGTGGTTTTATGATGTTTAAGACAGGGAATGTCACGAAGGAGGGAAGGTAGAAAACAGTTTTGTTTGAAAAGAAACAATTTTTCAAAGCCTTACTGTGAAACTTCTCAGGTTGTGCCTTCTCCGTCTACCATCAGGGTCTCTTTTGGGGCAGAAGGTGTTGTTGAACCAGTTACCAAGGTATAGAAATGACTTGGGACTGGGGATGATGTTGAAAGGGGGTGGCAAGGTGCCGCCTTCATCGAAGTAACTCATCCAGAGCTTTGTCCTTGCAAACTTCCACTCAATGTCAGCATGATCCTATGAAAGAGAGAAGTTCAAGGATTTTTGATGAGAAAATGCAAATACACCCATGACTCATTCTAAAGGTTCTATTTGCTTCTATAGAGGGCAATCTGTCAATAGCTATAAAAATTGGAATTACATTTACCCTACAACCTGGTAATCCCACAATTAGAAATTTATCTTATCAGTATACTTGCAAAAAGTTGTATGCACAGGATTGGTCACTGTAAAACTGCAGTTTATGATAGCAGAACAGTTGTCAACAATCTATCCAACAGTAGGAGACTGGTTAAATAAATGATGTCACATCTACAAAATGGCTTATAACTTAACTATTAAAAATATAGTAGATCTATCAACATTTTATATATAGAAATCTGTATGTGTGTATACATTTGTCCATATATTTCTAAAACCTCTAAGTGAAAAAAGGAACATAAAGAATATCATCCAGCCTTAAAAAAGAATGAAGTATTGATACATGCTACAACATGGATGAACTTTGAAAACCTTATGCTGAGTGAAAGTATATTTATTCTGTTGAGTCTTCCAGTCCACAAACACACTGACACAATGTCTTTTCTTTTATCCATGTTTTGTAATTTTCAGTGTATAAATCTTATACATATTTTGTTAAGCTTATACCTAAATATTTTATTTTCTTTGCAACGATTTACAATGGTATGGTCTTTATATGTTCAGTTTCCAATTGTTTATTGCTAGTATATGATTGATTTTTGTGTATTGACCTTGTATTCTGTGGCCTTGCTAAATTAATTTTTTTAAGAAGTTTTTTTTAATAGATTCTTTAGGGTCATCTTTATACAGAATCATATCAGTTCCAAAAAAAGACAGTTTTATTTCTTTCTTTCCAATCTGTACACCTTTAATGTTTTTTCTTTCCTTATTGTACTGTCTAGAATCTCCATTAAAGTGTACTGAAAGCAGATACACTTTGTTGCTGATCTTAGAAAGTCTTCAGTCTTTCACCATTGAGTTAGCTGTAGGTTTTGTGGAACAGGTTGTGGATGTTACATTCTATTTTGAGTTTGCTAAGACCTTTTTAAAAGAAAAACCATTAGTGTATGTTCAAGTTTGTCAAATGCTTTTTCTGCACCAACTGATACGATCATGGGGTCTTTCTTGTTTAGGCTCTTAATATAATGGGTTACTTTGCATTCCTGTGATAAATTCCATTTGGTGATGGTGTGTTTTTTTGTACATTGTTAGATTTGATACACTTATACTTTGTTGATGATTTCCATATCTATGTTCATGAAGGATATTGGTGTACAGTTTTTACATTTTCTTGCACTGTTTTTTTCTGTTTTTTGTATCAGTATAGTATATTATATATGTAATATATTTCTATATAATTAAAATTAATTTTACCAGTCTCTTTTCACTATATCCTAGTGTGGCTGATAGAAAATGTAAAATAATATATGTGGCACATATTATTTTTGTTATTATTTGTGACTTGCATAAAATTTTTATTGTACAGAATTGCTCTAGACTAAATGGTGGATTTGGTCCTGCCTAACAAAGCTTAAAAGCAAGTCTCAATAGGATCAAACTATTTCCAGAATAAAGCTCAAGAATATTTGTAACAATACAAAAATATTCAGTACCCAACAAGGTAAAATTCACAATGTTTGATATCTAATAAAAATTTATCAAACATGCTAAGAAGCAGGAAAATATGACCCACAATTAGGAGAAAAAAAATCTATCAAACAGCACCAGACACAAATCAGTTGTATTTCTATACTGTAGCAATGAACAATGAGAAATATAATTTTTTTTAAAACAGTATCATTTAAAATATAAAATACTTAGGAATAAACATGACAAAAATATACATGTTATTTACATTGAAAACTATAAAGGATTATTGAGATAAATTAAAGAAGACCTAAGTAAGTATAGAGATACAGCATATTCATACATTGGAAGACTATTAAATATAGTTTGGATGTTGATTCTCTCCAAATCGGTTTATAGATTTCCTACAGTCTCAATTCAAATCTCAGTTAGCATTTTTGAAGAAATTAACAAGCCACTTCTCAAATTTATATATAAATACAAAAGATGTAAAATCGTTAATTTTGAGAAAGAACAAATTGGCATGAAGATCAATGGAACAAAACAAGAAAGTCTAAAAATAAATGCAGGCATATGCATAATTGCATGCACATATGCAATTGACTTCCAAGAAAGGTGTCAAGGCGATTCAACTTGGAAACGATAATGTTTTCAACAAACTGACTTGGAATAGTTGGACTTACACAAGAAAAAAAAAAAAAAGAGAGAAAAGAACCTTGATCCTTCACACTATATACAAAAATTAACTGAAAATGAATCACAACTTAAAGGTAAGGGCTAAATCTATAAATATTTTACTACTAAACAATTTACTAATTTTTTTTCCTTTCTGCTTTCTTTGGGTTTAGTTTGCTGTTCTTTTTCTAGTTTCATAAAGGTAGAAGTTTAGGTTATTGATTTGAAATTTTACTTCCTTTTTAATATAAACATTTTCAGTCAGAAATTTCCCTCTGAGCAAATGTGGTATATATGGTACTCTCCCTTCCATTCATCACAAATATTTTCTTATTTCCCTTGTGACTTCTTTGAATCAGTGGTTATTTTGCAGTGTCTTCTCTACTATCCATTTATGTGTGAGTTTCCCACATTTCATTGTGTTATTGATTTCTAATTTTTTTAATGGAGGTACTGGGGATTGAACCTAGGACTTCATGCATGCTAAGCACACACTCTACCACTGAGCTATACCCTCTGCCCTACTGATTTCTAATTTAATTCTCCTATATTCCAAGTATGTTTTCAGAGCATACTTTTTATTATTTCAATTCTTTGAAAATTTAGTGAGACTTATTTTATGGACTAACATAAAATCTATCCGGGAGAATTTTCCATGTGCAGTTCAGAAGGATGTATATGCTGCTGTTGTTGTGTGGTGTGTTCTGTAGATAGATGACCATTAGGTCTAGTTAGTTTATAGTGTTGTTTGAGTCTTCTATTTCCTTTCTGGTCATCTGTCTTGTTCTGTCCATCACTGAAAGTGGTGTAATTCTCCAAATGTTATTACTGAGTTGTCTATTTCTCCCTTCAATTTTGTCAGTTTTTGCTCCAAGTATTTTTAGCTCTGTAGTTAGTTGGAAATACATTTATAATTGTTATATCTTCATGATGGATTCACCCTTATATCATTATAAAATGTCCTTTGTATTCTCTAGTAATAAATTTTGTCTTAAATTCTATTTTGTCTAATATTTGTAAAGCCACTTAGCTCTCTTTTGGTTACTGTTTGTATCATATACCTTTTCCCACTCTTTTACTTGCAGTCTATTTGCATCTTTGAATCTAAAGTGTGTCTCCTGTAGACAGCATATAGTGGATTATGTGTGTTTCTTATACAGTCTGGTAATCTCTGCCTTTTATTTGGAATGTTTAATCTAGTTACATTTAAAGTAGTTACTGATAAAGTAGGATTTACATCTAATATTTTGCCATTTTCTATATGTTGCATGTCTTTTTTGTTCCTCTATTCCTCCATTATAGATTTCTTTTGTGTTAGATATATATTTTCTAACATGCCCTTTAATTCCCTTGTTTATCTATCTATCTACCTATCCACCTATCATCTATCTTTTGATCTGTTTGTCTATCCTAGAGTTAGAATTTATAAGTGAAATGGTCATCACAGGGATAACTATTGACATATTTATTGAGTTAAAAAATGAAGTCATCCTTTTTGAGACAAAAGAGATATGTATGATTTAGCCAATTGGTTTGGGGATGATGACTGGCTTTGTCAGTTAAGCTATATGACAGTTTTTAAGAATTGCTAAATCTGAAGCTCCAAAATTTTGGTAAAATTATATTTAAAACATGTGATAAGAAAAAAGCATTTTGGTTAAGCTGTACTAAAATTGATAAAATTTATATTTTCCATTTCATGAACTTGGTTTAGTATACTGGGTTAAACAAAGTGCCTCTAAGTAAAACAGTAAATGGTATATTTAATAATTATTTGATAAGTCTTTATAAACCTTTTTTGGTTTTATCCCCAAAGTTAGTAGCTTACAGCAATAGACGTTTATTATCTTACAGTTTCTGTGGGTCAGAAATCTGTGTGTGGCAAGTTGTGTGCCTCTGGCTCAAGATCTCTTACAGTGGTAAAATCCAGTTGTTGGCCAGAGCTAGGATCTCATCTAAAAAGCCTCAGCGGAGGGAGCATTCTCTTCCAAGCTCGCTCTCATGGTTGTATGGTTGCTGACAGGCTTCAGTTTCTTGTGGGTTGTTGGACTGAGGATCTCAGTCCTTGCTGGCTACTGGCGAGAGACCACTCTGAGTTCTTTCTGGAGTGAGCCTCTTCATAAGACAGCTCACAAAATGGCAGCAGGTTTCCCCCAGAGGATGTGAAAGAGAAAAGACCTGGTCTTTTTATAAGCTAATCTCTGAAGTAACATTACTTTTGCCACAATCTGTTTGTTAGAAGTGAGTCCCTAGGTCCAGCCCATGCTCAAGGAGAAAAGATTGCATAAAGACTCAAATAAAAGGAAGTGAGGATCACTGGGGGACATCTCAGAGGCTTCCTACCACAGTATTACTTTCCTGAAACTGAGAAACTGAATGACTATAATCTTGAGTAAAATCCTTTTCTAAGTCATGTGGTTTCTAATTCTTTGCTTTCAATAAAATTTAAGGAGAACCTAATCAGGTTTTCAGGTGATAGACTGTTAAAAATATTATTTTATGAAAAATCATTGTATGACTTTTTGGCAGTAACTCAGAAGTCAGGAAAATTGAATGATAATGGCATAATAAAACTATTCATTCACATATGCTTATTGATATGAAAAAGATTTCTTAGCACTTACTTTTATAAAATTGGAAACTAAATATATAATTGATGCTGAATCTTGTTCCTGAATATTACTCAGTATTCTGTGGATATAATAACTAGTTGGAAGCAAAGCCCCACTCATATC